TTCTGTTACTAATAATTGGTTGGTATAGCAGACTAGCAGCAATCACAACATAATTTGTTGTTACATATTTACCGATCACCGGTTAAAGGTACTGGTGGCTTGCTAAATTAACAAAATCCTTTCTCTCAGTGCATCTTGTTTGCATAAAATAAAAAAGTAAGTAGACAGTTGAAACTTAGATGACATAAATCATTCCGTTCATATAATCGAAGATTGTAGCTATGAATTGTGTCATTATAAAAATAGATTTTATAAAGTAACGAAAGTTTTTTTAAAAAAAGATATCTAGCACTCGTTGAGCATTTTTTAGGATATCTGATATTGTAAAAAAAAACCTTTAACATAAATAGCATAGTAGAGGAATAAAACGACGCAATAATTTCAAGTCGCCAAGTAATTTTGCGAATCGTGACGTGCGTACATTGATTGTTGGATAAAACCCATTAGACAATTTTCAATAAATAAATGTCGCCTTAGACCACTACAAGACTCACTCTCATCTTGGAAAATAATATTTGTGTACGCGGAACTGTCAGCGCGCCAATTGGTACCAATCAGTGCGTTCCAACAATTTTGTGAAATTGCTTTTTCATCGTGATTTACAAAAGAATGATTTAATAAGTTTAAGAGTAATTATTAACGATAGCAATTAGTAAGAGTTTTAACTTCGAACAACGTTAACGACGTTGTTTATTTCGCTCCATGAAAAAAAAAATTTTTTTTTAATGGAAATTAATATTTTCTTTTTCTTGATTTTATATTTTTTCACAAAACAGTATTTGCGGATACGTCATACGTCAATTTAACGCTATTTGATTATTCCTATTAGGTAATTTCCGGGAATGAAATTTCGAGAGTAATTTGAAGATATTAGATTTTATATATTTTAGTCCACTAAATAAATAAATTTGCAAAAGAGAAGGAACATTATTTTCATGTGTTTGCGTCGATCTAAATTTCTCAAAAGCTGAGGGAAATAAGACTGACTCTTCTATAATAATTATAATTATGTTAACAAAGCTGATCCAGTGGATGTTCTGCAATCAAACAGTAATTATTGGATATTGTATGTTCAAAATATTATCGCGTTGTTAGTGTTATAACGGTATAATTCAGAGATTTATATTTATAATTCATGCATATGTTTTATTACAATGTCGGAACAACGAATTTTCTAAGACAGGTGGTATATCGCATTGCCCAGATGTTAACAATGTCCAATCCAAGGAACATCGGTTTCTGTCCGAAAATTCAAGGCTTTTCATATCGTTGGCGCAGCGCTTTGGCTTATTTTTGCTCTCGCGAAAACATGGAATTATATAGGTAGATTGATTTTACAAACAACTTATATGTGAAAGATCATCTAAAGATTCTAAAGCTTTGCAAATAATAATAGCAATCACAATTGTTTAATCGTGATAACAATGAAACCAATTTTTAAATATTCGATTATGATTAATCTATTTATAGGAATATAAGAAAGATCTTTCAAAATATTAATATATGCAAAAAGATGTGTAATAGCCGATGCTACAATAAAAAATATTAGATATATTTCACCTAACGTCATATAAAAAGAAAACAATTTGTTTAATTTTTTACGATTGAAACTCGTATCAATACATAATTTTTCATAATCATCTTTCTACGTTAATAAAAAAAATCTGAAAGAACTAGAAATCTACGCCATTGCAAATAGAAGCGGAGGTTGACGGCTGTTGAGAGTAACAACTTTAGTAGAAAGAAAAGAAAAAATAATTCAAAAAGCAATTTTGCCTCCGGGGGATCGCCATCGTTTGACTCACGAAAATAAAACGTCGATTCACCGCGGTAAGACCGGTGCCCACACGCATGTACACGTATACTTATATAAAAGTGTCATCGTGGCAGTCTTGCGGATAGTTGGACGCTGCGCATCGAGCGAACATGATCGAGGTAAGAGGAAATCAGAAATGCTGTGACAAGAAATGTTTAAAAAAAAACGCGTAACGTGTTTTCCGTGATAGTGACGCATAATTCACATGTCAGCTGGTTAATCGCGTTATTCTTCTCGAGAAAAGTGAATTTCCTCGTCAAAACATTTGACGACAATCCCATTTAACATTCTGTCTTAACTTTCCTTGGATCGAATGTGAGATTTGACGAAACCAAGAGGTTATTCATGCAATGGGAATTATGCAAGATTTATAATATGAAAAGTGTCGTTTGTAAAAGTTCACCTTGACAATTGATTCGATTAGAATGCTAGAATGCCCGACTAAATGTTTCAGCATTAAATTGCTTTTGACCTTTGTTGCGATGACGTAACTGATCATTATGCCATAATGATCCGTTACTGCATTTCGAAGTTATTATTAAATTTTTATGTAGGAATATTATTTACTCTCTTCCTTAATGAAATTTGAAAAAAGTAAAAAGGGCTTCTTTCATGTTAAATCATAAAAAGTTAAAAGTCAACCAGAACCTGAATGTGGATATAGACGCATACTTTTATAACAATTTATACATTTACATCATTATTTAAATTTTATTATTGTTAAACTTGCTTTTCCAAGAAATATTCTCGAGAAGAGAACGTCTAGCAATCCTGGCCTTTAGTTTTTAATTAGTTATTTTTGCTTAATTAGTTATTTTTTCTTTATTATTAGTAACAAGATTTGTAATTGGATTTCATGATTAAAATTACGTGAATAGTTAACGTGATTGTGTAGGCGAAGGTTTTCCGTTTGCCTAATTTTAACTATTGAAATTTAAATTATAAATCTGTCGCTGAAGGCAAAGGAGAAGTGAATCATAAAGATAATTGACAATGTACGATTAGATCATTAATAATTAATAATGTTGGAATATTTTTAAAAAAGATTGTATTACGATAAAGATGCTTGAAGAAGTTGATAATGATTAATTGAGAAAAATTCGGATAAAATTATTTGTAAAATATTATTAAAATATTTATTTCTCAGAGAATTAGATTGTTTTATTGCAAATGATCTTATTAACAAAATATTTACGATATATAAATTGAAAATATAAATTAAAAATAAAAAAAATGGAATTCTCTCAAATGTATTTTAACTTTTATTTTAGAGAGTTTTTAACTTAAAAACAAAATAAGCCGAATGTTATTTACAACTTATTATGTTAAATTATGAATATATAAATGCAAATAAAAATGTATTAATATTTTTATAACGATTAAAGAAACGTATTCAATTGTAGATATAATATAAATAGACAGTGAAAAAATTGTATGTGTGAAAAGATTCCT